CTCTATAATTATTCCCACTACAAAAGTATGACTAACTCTCTTTATAATTATTCCCACTATAAAAGTATGACTAACTATAAATATTCCCACTACAAAAGTATGACTAACTATCTCTATAAATATTTATACTACAAAAGTATGACTAACTAACTCTATAAATATTTATACTACAAAAGTATGACTAACTCTCTCTATAAATATTTATACTACAAAGTATGACTAACTCTATAAATATTTATACTACAAAAGTATGACTAACTCTATAAATATTTATACTACAAAAGTATGACTAACTCTCTCTATAATTATTCCCACTACAAAAGTATGACTCTCTCTATAATTATTCCCACTACAAAAGTATGACTCTCTCTATAATTATTCCCACTAGAAAAGTACAACTAACTTTTCCAGAACCAGTTCAATATTGTATTCAGTAGTGTAATGGATGTTGATGGCACAAAATTTCCTTGCACGTTAATATTTCATTTACTAACTTCTATTTGTTATTCTTATTCCCTAATTTCAATCACATTTCCTGTACTAACAAATGGACCTGTGTGATGCACAATGAGAGGTTTATGAAACTTAACAAATCCTTTATATAATTCATTTAATGATTTTATAGAGAAGGGTCAGTGTTTGGTTTTATCTATGGGTACATCTTTTATTGGGGTTTGCAGCTATCTAAGCACTCACAGCTTTTTTACTTTTAGTTGTCCTTTCTGTTCTTTACAAGCTTCTCTTGTGTCATTTCTTTGGCACAATCACACCCTGATTGATGTGTATATTTAGATGTCTTATAATAAAACACACACTGTTTACATGTATTGTTATGAGGTGTTTATGTCAATGAATATAAAATACATCAAATGATTGCTGAGATTTTGAGATGAAATTTTTAACAATTATGAATATGATTTTTTTTTATTCCAGTGGCAATATAAACATTGAAAGTACATAAGAATAAAATTATTCATGTCCACTGAACTTAATTATTTAAATAACATTTTCTTTTCTTTTTATCAAAAAGAAATAAATAACACTTGACTTAAAAACGGCCCATTTCATATAGCTGTGTCTATCTTGAAAGTATGTATAAACAATGTGTGAAAAAGAAATCCCTCAAATAATTGATGGGATTTGAAAATGAAATGTAATTGTAGAATTAATGTTTTATCAGTTATGAATATATAGTTTCTACTTTTGTCATAAATATGTCAGTAAATATTGAAAGTAGAGAGACTGATATCAACCCCATGTAATGAAATATGAGACTGGAGAATCTCATAAGTACCCCTAGTGGCCACTCTCACTGACTCATCTATATTTAACTAGCACTGAAATCTAGGAATTTTAAAAGAATAATACTTCTTAAGAGGTCATTCCTAGTTGATTAATCATATTTCACAGGTCCAAATGCAAAAGCCTTGGAGTTAGAGACAAACAAACAAACCTTCTCTCAAATTACAGTGAGATTTTCTCATATGTAACTGTCCTCAATTAGATAGCCTTCAAAGGCCATGAACACATTACTTCAACAATACATTCTAAGAAAATGACTGAAATATTATTATACTTGATATTATTATTGAAAGACCCTAAGGGACTAAATAAAGAATAGTGTTAAAAACAATCTTGTTGGCTTTTATTTTTCAAATGTATTCCTTTACTGTTCATTAAGCTTGATGAGGGTTAACAGCAAGCTTCAAAGAACTGGATGCATGATATCAACTTCATGTGCACTATAAATTTGTTTTTTATTAAAGTAATTTTCAATTTTAGTAATCATTCTGAAAAATAATTACAATTTTTAAGAGAACAAAATATCTGCTTTTATGTAAAAATACTAAGCAAACATTTAGTTTAGACCAAGTAAAAAAGAGATGCAAAAATTCTTTAAAAGAGTTCATTTAATTAAAAATAAAATGACCTCCTTCCCTTTTTTGAAAACTCCTCTGATGTTAAACATTGTTTTTTACTTGGCTTTAGGGCTTACAATGCTGCAAGACATTGTTTTTTACTTGGCTTTAGGGCTTACAATGCTGCAAGACATTGTTTTTTATGTAGTTTGCATAAAATCTGGCCTAGTGTCTTATTCATTTACATCAGTTTATACTGACAGTGATACTGCATGTGAAATCCAAAGCAAGAAATGGTAGGACTTTAAGCTTCAAGTACTACACTTGAGTTTTATGCAAAAAGAAAATGTTTCACTTCTCTTTCTTCCCAATGTAATGCGACACAAAACTTACTTAATAAATATTCTTAAATATGCTTATGAAACCAATTTTTAGTGGTTGTTCTATCAAGATTTCTCCTAAAAGTAAAACGCATTCTGAAATACTATGCCTCACTCTGTTAATCGAAAATCATTTGTCTTATGACAGTGTCAATAACTTAAAAGTTAAACGAAAAAGAACTGTCATACTTGTCCATCGACTTGACAATTTTTGTGCTTTGGCCTTCATAGGGTGTTATTTTTATGCTAGACACTATGTGATTCCAAAATGATAACCAAATAAGAAATAACATTACGGAACAAAGATATTCACAATAAACATACATGATTAATAATAGGCTTATGTGTCGTTGCTGGTGATCTTTTTTCCCTGCCGGGCCTACCGACGATAAAATTCCCCGTATCATACTTGCGAAAACCGGTATACGAATCCCCTGATTCTTCTTCTGGTAGTTGATTATAAGTAATAGTATTGCTTAGTTCCACAACTTGTTTCGAACTCGAATGGGAGTCGCTATGCCCAGAAAACGTTGTCGGCAAGAAGTCTTTGTTCTTCTCTGTAGAATATGAATGTAGAGTACGTGCTGGAAATCCATAGCGTCTTCCATCGCAATAATTTATTGCCTCAAAAAGTACTAAAATAAAAACAAACAAGGACCAAATCCAAACTATCCTCGCGTTGGTCGCCATCATACTGTCATTTGACAAGGTATTAGCAATAGAATAATGTTCACTGAATTTTAGTGTATGTTTCAACTTCCGCAAGTAGTTCTACAAGTTCAATCCTCACTTTTGGAGACTACGAGAAATAGATTCTAACTTTATACTTCTTTAATTGAACATGAATAATTATGCAGTACAATGAATAAACTAAAAATAAAGATTTTAGCATACTCAAAACAAACATATTAGAGCATCGAAAGTAGATCCGACCATTCCAAAATGTATCAAAGAAACACATTCGCTATGACGTCTTAAAATACATTGCGACATTAATACAACATCCGGAAGTTAAATTTATAAAGTTAGCAGAAACGCCGCCACACATACTTCACTGAAAAAAACTTAGAAAAAGTGAAGATTTTCTGACAAATGTTGTTGTTGTTGTTGTTTTTCTGTGAAGTTCTGCACGAGAAAAGTCTTTAGTCATACGCAGCTTATTGCATCAAAATGTTTCAATGTACAGAGCTCAAAGTTTTCACAAATTTTTCTGATATAAACTGTAATGTTTTTATATATTAAAAGTGCTACACTTTATTGAAAAAATAATAGTTCTTAAGAAATTCAGAATTTAGTACTTTACCTTTTGGTTTGTTTAAAATGTGATATACCGGATGATGACTACGAACATACTTAAAACGTTTGGGAAGAGATTAAGATACAAAACGTAGAAGAATATTCTTATCTCATGTAAAGACAGATGTTTTGATACGAAATATTTGTTTAAAAACATATAAATTAGATGCTGCTTAGTACTACACAACACCTGGTCTATCATGGGATGCAATGTTTAAAAAAGGCAAAGCAAACAATAAATATATGTAAGATTATAATCGTAATAGAGAATCTATTTATTTAGCTTACCTAGATGCGAATTACCTATATGGGTGTGCAGTGAGTCAATATTTACTTTATAGGGGAGTTCAATGGAGTCATACAGATATTGATGTAATGAAAGTACCTGATGTCCCTGAAATAGGTTATGTCTTAGAAGTAAATTTGGAACATCCGAAAGAACAGACTAGCTACCAACGAAATAATATTAATGACAACTTCATACAACAAGAAAAAATACGTACTTCACTATACAAATCTTAAGCAATATCTATCATTAAGAATGAAACTGAAGAAAATTCATAGTGTTAGAATTCAAAAAATCTGCTTGGCTATAGAAATATATTGACCTAAATATGTAAATGAGAACTAAAGCCACTAATGATTTTGAAAAGATTTACAATTTGTTAAATACTTCTTTTACTTAGAAAGACTATGGAAAATATTGGAAAACGAGTTGATATATTGATATAAAATTGTGTTCTGATGCAAAACAAAGTTGAAAAATTAATAGCAAAACGAAACTTCAAAGAAAAGGCAATATTTACAGAAATTTCCGCTATGAATTCGAAAAATACCAAAATAATATTCAATAAACCAATTTACGTTTATATGAGCATTCTAAATCTTTCGAAAACATTGATGTATGATTTCCACTACAGATTCACGAAACCAAAATATGACGATGACTTATAATTGCTATGCCAAGATACTGCCTCTTATATTTAAGAGATAAAAGCAGATGATCTCTACAAGGATATGAAAGAAAACATTCAGACTACCCAAAAGACAATTCTTATGGTATTCTAGAAGCAAGCAAAATGGTTTGGGGTAAAATTAAGTACAAGAACAGTTGAAAAATAATAATAAATGAATTTGTGGAGCTAAAGTCTAAGATGTATGCTTTAAAATTACAAAATGATAAAATTGTAAGAAGTCTAAAGGTGTTAAAAAGTGTGTCATTAAAAAGAGAATTACCTTTGATGAATATAAAGAATGTTTATTTTACCAGAAAGAAATATGTAAAACTATGAATCTACTAACAACTAAAAAGCATGGAATATATTCTGTTCAAGTTAACAAGAAAGCATTAGGCTCGAATGATATATATTACCAGCTGATATTAATACTTTAGCTTGGAGTCATTTTTCTCCTATATATATGGAAGCAGTAAAAAAGTTAATGTTATTGGATCATTTAAATATACTGAAATTCGTTAACTGGATGAACTAGAAACAGGAGATGAATTCCCTGTCTCTAAATTAAAAATGATTAGAACCCAGTGTTGTGATAGAACTGTTACTGTGCTAATGTATGGAAACTGGACGAATTGCAAATATTAGGTCGCCAAGAAATTAATGTCGCGTTTTGGAACACTTTTATTAACCCCCTAACAAACTCTAAAGAAATGTCAAAAACACTATTGACAATAGAAAGTAGGTGCATCAAACCCTAAGAAATGTCAAAAACACTTGAAAATAGAAAGTAAGAGCATTAAACCCTAAGAAATGTCAAAAGCAATATTGACAATAAAAAGTAAGAGTATCAAACCCTAAGAAATGTCAAAAACATTTGACAATAGAAAGTAGGAGCATCATACCCTAAGAAATGTCATAAACACTTGACAATAGAAAGTAAGAGCATCAAACCCTAAGATATTCATAAAAATGAGTGCTTCAATGTTTAAAATGTTTAGTTTATTGAAATTAAAGAAATTGTTATTACAGACATTTTTTAACTGCATACTGTTGCGTATCTGCTCGTTTGTTAATTTCCGGTATAAATTCTTTCCGAGCAACTTCAGTGAAACGACTCCTTTCTTAATTAAAACTAGTTTATTCTTCCTCGATACAACTTTGTAACACAGAGAATTTCCAATCAATACCTTAAACTTAACTACTTCGATAACACACGCTATGAATCACAGTGATTCACAAACTTTACTTACGGTGCCTACTGTTCGCTTGGATCAATTATCTATCTCTTCAATCCGTCTGCATGACCCTTCAATCTATCTGCCCATCATGCTGGTTTTACTCGCCAGGCTTATATATTAAAAAAGAGGGCGTCTCGAATGCACTCGGGCCTTCATTATCCTTCTAGAAATTCCAGCATGCATGCTCCCAGCGTTGCGTGACTTCTGCTGTCGTAACACTGCCCCTTCCTTAGTATTATTCATCTCGAACAATAGCCACTTACATTAACGAATAGATAATTAACGATAACTTGATTAAATGTACATAATTTACAAACACAAAATTAAAATACAACAAAGTCTACAACAGGACGTATCTTCTTTCGTACTGGTCTCCATCTCATTGGCTTCTGCTTCACATGGGGCTCATCTGCTCCATCAGGAAATGTCCTATTATTGGTAACAGTCACATCAGTGGTACGTAACTTCATTAAGGGCTTCACTGTTTCCATTCTCAAAACCGGGTAGAGTTTCTTCTTCGATGGTGACTTTTTCAGGTGGCACATATTCAGCAGCGTCATTTGTTCCATTGTTCACTTCGTCCCAACTGAAATGTCCTGGACCGTGATAACGCCAAAGCCTGTTGGCATGCACCACATTTGGTTTACCTCACTGACCACATTTTATTCGGAAAGTCACGTCTGAGAGACGATCCACTATGTCATATGGGCCTTCCCATGGAGAAGACAACTTAGGAGACTTCTCTTTGGTCATCTTGGAATTATACAACCACACCTTGTCTCCTGGTACAAAGCTGACTTCAGTAGATCTCTTATCATAACATAGCTTCGTGGAAGACGTTTTCAAGTTTGAACCCACTTGATGGTGAATATCATCCATCCTTTCAGATGACACTTTCACGAACTCTGACACATTTTCAGGCAACTCTTCGTAAAGTGGGCGTCCTGTTATTAGGTCCACTGGCGACCGAAGTTCACGACCAAACATCAGCTTTGCTGGAGTGTATCCAGTGGTTTCATGCTCTGCTGTTCTATAGGCCGCCAACAGTGGAGGGAGTAAGACATCCCAGTCATCTTGGCAGCTATTACAAAATTTTGCTAATTCCTGTCCCAGTGTCCAGTTGTACTTTTCTACCATCCCATCAGACTGTGGGTGAAGTGGCGTTGTCCTGGTCTTTCATATGCCAAACAACTTGCAGCATTCATGAAACACAGCTGATTCAAAGCTACGGCCTTAATCCGAATGTAGTTCGTATGGCATACCAAACCTGAAGAAGCAATCACTAATAGCCGAAGCTACAGTTGTAGCTTTCTGATTTGGTATTGCATATGCCTCAGGCCACTTGGTGAAATAATCCATCACCACACAAATGTACCTGTTTCCAGCACGAGTTTGGGACAATGGACCAGCAATGTCAATGGCTACTCTTTCCATTGGTACACCAACTTGATATAACTTCATTGGAGCACGACCCTTATGCTTGGGTCCCCTTTTTGCCCAACATGTATTGCAGGTCCTGCACCATTATTCTACATCTTGCCTCATACCTATCCAGTAAAATATCTGTCGTAGGTGACTCAATGTCTTCTTAACTCCAAGATGTCCTCCTGTTAAACTATCATGGGATTGACGCAGCACAACTTCCCGTAACTTTCTCGGTATAACTGTTTGCCAGGTCATCACTTTCCCATCTACAGTTCCCATCCCCGAACAAGAATACCATCTTCAAGCTTCAACTCGTCCCATTGTACCCAATAGTTCTTTGTCACAGGGCTTAAGCTAGACACCTTCTCCCAAGCATCAACTCCTTCAGTCACTTTGACTTCAGCTTGATGGCACCTGGTTAGTTCAACCTC